ATTTTTTAGAAATCTATACAGTCTTTACAGTGTAGCAATCCACAACCGGAAGGAAAGTGAAAGTTTCTCTTTAGAACAAAGAAGCGGCTGAGCCGCGGCCATTTTTTTTTCTCCCTTATCTGGAAGTTAACTTTCAATTTCAGTCAGTTGAGAAGAGTACTTTATTCTTCTGAGTCAAAGTTGTAATTTCTTTATAAAAAGTCCAGGTTTCCTAGACAACTCTGTCTGTTATAAATTACTCACATTTAAAATCTCAGAAAAAAGCATCAGAGGTGGAGACGGAGTCTGGCTTCGCTAAAATAACGAAGACATCCCGATCTGCGGAGGAACTCTGAGCTCCGGAGGAGTTCTCATCTTCGCCTCCCTGGGAGGACTTCTGACTCTTTTTAATGCAGTCGAATAAAATGGTAACATTACAGCCTCAGCCTTTTATCTTTACATCCTTAATACGTACTAGCCATTCTATAACAACAAAATCAAAGTTTCATTCTTTTTATCTCAAAAGAAAAAAATCCTGAAGCGGTTTCCAAGTAGAACCAAAGATGGATATTTTGGGTTTTTTTTTCATTAAAGCAATTAATTTTGGCATCTCTGCTATTCCATGAGTTTTTCCAGCCACTTCTCCATTATGGCAATTAAAATATTCTTCCATTTTTGTACAAAAAACATTCTTGCTACTCTCAACATATATAAAGCAAAGATCCAGATTGTTTTTCAATTTGTTTGCCTATTAAAACTAAAAGAAAAATCTCTGGTTTTATTTTTATACCCACTTTGAGAATCTTCCGCAGTAAAATATAAATCTTACTCCAGTATTTCTTTGCTTTGTCACAAGTCCAGCAAAGATGGTAAAAAGATTCTTGCTTACATTTACATTTTGAACATGTATTTGAATTTCCTTCATACATCTTTGGCCGGTTATCACGCATTAAATAGAATGATATATCATTTTATTAAAAAAATTCTTTTAAATTATAATTTAATAGAAATTTTAAACCTTTCATCCAAATATCTTCCAGTTGTTCAGGCATTATGTTATACGCAAAATTCTTTGCCATTTGATCAACATATTCAAATTCTTAATAGCTCCTTACCAGAGTTCCCTGGCATTCATACTATGTGGAGATGCTTCACTAATCTTTGTATAGTTGCTTATCCTTTCTAGAAGAAAGGTTTTGCAGAGCCATTTATTTCTTACTTCCCAGCCTAATTGATCGACACTGAGTGCTTTGCAGTGAGAAACCACTTCATGATGTGTGATGACCATTAATTCTTTTCTCCTTCATACGATTTCAAGTCCTTTACAATGGACGTCAGAGATCCTGAGAGAATGAGGCATCCACCAAATCTCCCTCAAGAACTGTTTTTCAGGAGGATCTCTCAGGAAGATCCAAATCAGGACACCTCAAGAGGTAATAATAAGGTCCTTCCACTCCTCTGATAAATTCTAACTTTCTTATCTTCTGTGTTTTCTCTTCGATCGCATATCTCCTCCCATTTCATTAATTATGCTTCCTGAAATTCTGTCTCCCTCACAGGGAAGAATAGAAGGAAGTTGGCTCTTTCTTTTGGGGGAGCGGAAACTGTGATTGAACCTCCAACTCAGGTAACAGAAGAACATTCATTTACTAAATTTGTATTTTCCTTTTACCTCAGGAAATCAGCTGATGTACATAGTACAGGTAGTCCTTGATTTATGACCACAATTGAAACCCAAATTTTTGTTGCTAAGCAACATATTTGTTAAGTGAACTTTGCCCCATTTTACGACCTTTCTTGCCACATGTGTTAAGTCAATGACTGCAGTTGTTAAGTTTGTAATATGGTTGTTAAGTGAATCTGGCTTCCCTATTGATTTTGCTCTGAGAACTTCACAAAAGGTGATCGCATGACCCGGTGACCCTGGAACCGTCATAAATATGAGTCAGTTGCCAAGCATCCGAATTTTGATCATGTGGCCATGGGGATGCTGCAACAGTTGTAAGTGTGAAAACCGGGCATAAGCCATTTTTTCCGGTGCCGTTGTAACTTTGAACGGTCACTAAAAACTGTTGTAAGTATAGGACTATCTCTACTGCCTTTTTCCATTGTCCCCTCTGCTTTTGTTTGGGGATTTTTTTAGGATTTTTTTTTAAGACTAGTACTTTAAAAACAAAACTCTTTTCCCTAATTATTTCCCAACATTTCAATAAATATTGTTTTACAGATATTTTCACGGCACCCATTATTTCTGTAATTCTTTGAGTTGCATTTGTGGAAGGATCCTCAAAATTATTTAAATATTTACACCGGGATATTACCATTTTTAAAAGCTTCATTTACAATCATTGATAAAATAAATGATTAAGAACAAAGATTTTTAAAATCCCAGGACAGTGGGATTTATTTGCCTCCAAATAAAAATTGTTCTGAAAGAGCACATAATCAAGGCCCTCCATTTTATTATTTACTGTCGTGTCAATGGCTCAGACTATTAGCAGTTTCCTTGCAATCTGAGGAGGGGCAGAGTCTCTGGATATTGAGAGCATCTGTCCAGTTTCTCATCTAAACTATGGAATCCTACTAAACATTGCCATTTACCTTAGTGCCTAGCTTTGCTTTGGGAATTTCTAAACAATAGGACAGATCCTATAGTCCCTCCTCAATCTGTTCCGTACTTTTTTGCCTTTCAGGAGGGTCTTCTGCCCTTTGAGGAGGTGGCTGTGTATTTCTCAGAGGAGGAGTGGTCTCTGCTGGATCCTCGCCAAAAAACGCTACATTGGGAAGTCATGGTGGACAATTATAAGAACGTGGCCTCTCTTGGTAAGGGTTTCCTATTCTGCAGTCAGACAGTTCAGGAAGACATTTTGTAGTTAGATGCCATGGATTACTTCTTATGAAATCATCTCCAAATAGATATCCTCTCCTCAGAGGGAGAAGGAAAAGTCATGCTGGTCTACTACTCCTAGGAAGAAAATAGGTCAATGGCATTCTGTTTAGATATATTCTATCCCATTTCTTTTTCTATTTCTATTTAAACACCTTACTGACAATTCCTTAGTTTGCAGTAATGCCAAACTCCATCACATAGATTTTAACTATTTTTGGCCCAGATACTTCCATATCAGTCCTATCAAGAATTGCCATTCAGGTTTTTTTATTTAATGCCTTTTACAAGTTTTTATGCCTCATGAATAGTGATATTATCATTTCTATACTAAACCATTATAATTATATAAATATACAATATATTGGAATCTGGCAAAATACCTGAAGGCAATTACAGGTAGTCCTCGAGTTACGAATATAATGGAGCCTGCCCATTTCATTCGTAACTCAAAAATTCAGGGGAATAAATCTTGTACCTCAAACAAGATCACTCCCTACTTTCACTCACATATTTGCTAATAGAATGCATTGGCAAATAGGCGGTTCATTATTTGCACATGAGGTATCTCAGGGTGGGGAAGGCCATGGAGGGCCTAGTGATGGAACAGGCTCCCAAGGCCTCCACGATTCACAAAGATACCTCATGCTTCCCCGTCAATTTCTGCCGCTCCAGATTTACTTACCTTGAAAAGATCCATCTCCTCTCTGCCAGGTTCCTGCTTTTCAAGGAGAGGAGATCAATGGAAGTTCCTGCATGCTGTAATATCGCATGAGTTCAGGCACCCATCCTCTTTTGAAGAGAATGGGTGCCTGAACTCTCACAGTGCTTGTGGTGCCTATCTCCTGCTCTTCCCCCCCCCCCAACTCTGGAGCCACATGGCCACTACCCCTGGCTTCTGTTCTGCCAGCGGAGGCCTGTAGATCAGGCTTCTGAAGGCCCGTGGAAGCATCCCCTGACCTCCTTTCTGGGCAGCAGCGGCCTGAAAAAGGCCTCCAATGCCTGGACTGGGCTTCCAGAGGCAATCGGAAGCCTCCCCCAGCTTCTGTTCCATTCTCTGTTGCAGAGAAAGAGGCCTAAACTACCGTGAGATCATTGAAAATCAGTAGCATGAGATCTCGCATCACTGATCTCACCTGATCTTGCGTTACTCTAGGCTTCCATTCTCTGCGAACGCACCAAAGGCCTAGAACAGCGAAGAAAGCAAAGGTGCGTACCCACAGGCCTAGTGCCTATGGAGACTGGGGTAGGGGGTAGGGAGGAAATAGCTAGGGTGAACGTTGCAGGGCTACTGTGGTTATTAGTAAGGGTGAATGACTTCCATAGTGTGGAAACATTTGCAATTTCAGGAGTTTTTCGTAAACACTACTGGTTGATTATTTCGTAAATTTGAACGTTCGCTAAGGGAAGGTTTGTAACTCGGGGATTATCTGTAATATGATTTCTGACAGGGTGATCTTTTTCTCTAACCTTTCTATCACTTTCATTTCTCTTTTCCTTTGAAGGTGATAATGACAACGACAATAAAGTCGCTGGAGAATTAATCAAAGTGTTCAAACAAAGAGACGTAATGGAGAAGCCTGCAATTCAAACGGGATTCCAAAGGCAGGAAAGAAACACTTCAAATAATTGGAATAAGGAAAGCTCATCTTCCATTGATGCTCAGATGCAGGACTTTATTGATCAACGGGGGGGAAAAAAGAAAAAATACATTAGGAAAGGTGCAAGACTATTCAAAGACACAGTAGATATAAATGAGCACCATCTATCCCAAGTCAAAGGACAAGATTATATATCCAAAGACAAAGGACAAAATTACAATGGGACTTTCTCACTTTCTCAAGAAAATGGGTCTCTTATGTCACAGAAAAGTTTTCACATGGGAGAGAAGCCAAATAAATGCACTGAGGATGGAAATAAGACTGTTTATAAAAAGATAAGCACAAAGGAGAAGCTATATAAATGCAGAGAGTGTGGAAAGGGCTTCAGCAAACCAAGTCATCTTACATCCCATCAAAGGATCCACATAGGAGAGAAGCCATATAAATGCATGGAGTGTGTAAAGGATTTCAGAACAAGCTGGGAACTTACATCCCATCAAAGGATCCACACAGGGGAGAAACCCTATAAATGCATGGAGTGTGGAAAGGGGTTTAGAACAAGCAGTGAATGTACATGCCATCAAAGGATCCACACAGGGGAGAAGCCCTATAAATGCATGGAGTGTGGAAAGGGCTTCAGAAAAAGCAGTAATCTTATATGCCATCAAAGTATCCACACAGGGGAGAAGCCCTATAAATGCATGGAGTGTGGAAAGAGATTCACCCAACATGGTAGTCTAGTATCCCATGAAAGAATCCACACAGGAGAGAAGCCATATAAGTGCATAGAATGTGGAAAGGGCTTCAAGAAACACAGTCATCTTACATCCCATCAATGGATTCATAAAGGAGAGAAGCCGTATAAATGTATAGAATGTGGAAAGGGCTTTACCCAACACTGTCATCTTAATTCCCATAAAAGACTCCACACAGGGGAAAAGCCCTATAAATGCCTGGAGTGTGGAAAAGGCTTCACCCGACATAATGTTCTTATTTCCCATAAAAGAGTCCACACAGGGGAAAAGCCATATAAATGCATGGAGTGTGGAAAGGTCTTCAGAACAAACAGTCATCTTACAGTCCATCAAAGGATCCACACAGGGGAGAAGCCATATAAATGCATGGAGTGTGGAAAGGGCTTCAATAACCAGAGTCATCTTACATGCCATCAAAGGATCCACACAGGGGAGAAGCCATATAAATGCATGGAGTGTGGAAAGAGCTTCATCCGACATAATGTTCTTATTTCCCATAAAATAATCCACACAGGAGAGAAGCCATATGAATGCATGGAATGTGGAAAGGGCTTCAGTCAACACAGTAAACTTACATCCCATCAAAGTATACATACAGGGGAGAAGCCATATAAATGCATGGAGTGTGGAAAGGGCTTCAGGACAGGTAGTGAACTTACATCCCATCAAAGGATACATACAGGGGAGAAGCCCTATAAATGCATGGAGTGTGGAAAGGGCTTCAGGACAAGCAGTGACCGTACATCCCATCAAAGGATACACACAGTGGAGAAGCCCTATAAATGCATGGAGTGTGGAAAGGGCTTTACCCAACATGGTCATCTTATTTCCCATAAAAGAATCCACACGGGAGAGAGGCCACATAAATGAATGAAGTATGGAAAGGGCTTCTGCCAACACCATACTCTTTACTTCCCATAACATCATTCATAGATGTGAGAAGTCAATCCCCAAAACAGAGACAAATTTGGGTGAGAATGAATGCTAATTATTGATTTAGTGGTCTCAGTCTCTGGATTTCCAATATACCCAGACTGAACTCTGAAAAAAGGGTTTTTATGTTTCACACTCCTGTCGCCCCTAGAGAGATGAATTTAGTAAGAAAACAATGTGCATATGCTATTATAGTTATGATCTGTATTTTTGAATGTATCTGTTTATAGCTTCATTTTATTTTATTATTTAGAAATGAGCTTCCTGCTTCCCAGCTGTCATCATTCTCCCACTTGGTCATAGTTCTCAGAGGGATGTGAAGACATTTAAGAGGTGCTGCTTCCCCAAGCACAAATGAAAAAAAAAATCAAATGTTCATCCTTGGTGTAGAACTGAGATACCCCAAAAGTAATCGAATTTTCATCCTTCGTGTAGAACTGAAAGCTGAGTCAACTGGTATCTATGCAGAAGCAGGGAACATTATTCAGTCAAAGGCTTCATGATATGAGGGAATTGTCATATACACATCAGTGTTTGGCATCTGTGAAGAGCTGAAAGGATGCACAATTCTTCCCTCACAAAAGGAGCCAGAATGACCAGAAGCCCCCCCAAGTGGTTGTACAATTTTTTTTCAAACATATTATGGCCATGTTTTGCTCTTCTATAGTGTGATGAGGACTAAAAAGAAGTCTACATTTGATTTAAATAAAATTAAATATCAGTGGCGTGGTTATGTTCTTGTTATATATTATACCCTTAGAATATAGTTGCCTTCAAAATACATTAACGCACTAAAAATTTTGGAAGGATTTGGAGGGGGCATATATCAGGATTTGAGAAGCTCATGTTGGTTTATTCAACTTAATTACAGTACTTGTCAGTAAAAGTTCTGGGTCAAGCTGGCCAATAAAGAGACTGAAAAGAGCAGAGAAATTAACTCAATTCTTTCTAACCCCTTTTTTCTCTCCATTTCCATTCTTTCATTCATTAACTAAATCTTTTTTTTCCTTTGCATTGTCGCCTCCGTATCCAGAGAAATCTCTTCAAACTACTGGAATCTTCAGGTCTTGTGGTTGGAGGAGAATTTGTACTTATGTTTCTCTCTGTTTATTTATGATCTGTGGATTGATGGGTTCCAGTATCATTGCTAGGGTTGGTCCAGATTCTTTCTTACCTCTGAAAGGCATTTTTGGGTCGTAGAGGTAAGCCAGAAGGGATAAGGCCTGTTATAACCCTGAACTTTATTTCAGGAGCTGCTAATGTTTCACCATCTTCTCCTGTCTCCAAGTCATACTTCCTGAGATGTATTCCCTACGTAACCCGTACACAAATGAGTGGTGATTTTTTTTTGCCTCATGGTACAATATTCATATTCACTTTTCACTATTTGCCTATTTGTGTGATTTATTTAAACTGTTAAGGTTTTACGTAACCCTACAAACGTTTTTGCTCTACTCAGAAATTTCAAAGACACAAAAGAAACTCCTGAGCCGAGGTTTCAGCAAAGAAAAGCAACTTTATTTTGGCCAAAATAGAGCTGGGTAACCTCCTTCTTCATGGCTGTTTAGAGGGATGAAGGCACACCATTCCTTCTACCTTTTATACTTGTTCAGAACAAAGAGATCCAGGTCTCTTTACCAGGAGCAAGGAAGCACAGAAAAACAAATTCCAAAATGATGACTCATATACATCAATCCAGGTTCCATCCCTAACTCATTTCTCCCCTCATTTCTTGGACCACTGAGCCTTACATTGCTCTTTTCATGTAAGCAATCTCCTGAGAAAATCTCCTGTATATTTGACATGAGACACTTGCTTTTATGTAAGTAATTTCCTTATATGAGGCACCTATAAGGTTACTTGCTCATAAGCAAATTTATATATAATAGCTACAAACTAACACTATTAATATCAAGCTTAAACATAATAAAATCATAAACACAATATAAGGTCCCCTCAAAACTGCATTCCCTCAGCAATATTTAGAAGAACATGAACAAGGTCACTAGGAGATCAAGTCACTAGAAGATCAAAGAGGTTTGCAATTCCCCAGTCCTGCTATCTCCATAGGTCATTCATAAAGGCAACCAATAAAATTTGCATGTTGTATTCCAGCCAGAAACTGATGGCCAGGCAGCCAAATAATTTGCATCCTATAAAGCTCTCTGCAGTTGCAAAGCACCAACCCTTTCAGGCAAGCCAGGCCAGAAATGGGACACTACAAAGTCTATTAGAGAGGTATGATAGCACCTTCCTTAAAAATAGAAGAGTGGATATGGGTGTGGCGCTGTCAAAAGTAATTGGATTAAGAAGGGTTATTGATCAGAGGGGAAACAACAACCTCCTTCCTGGTGGAAAAATGCACTCTTTATAATGCCTTAGTAAGGCCACACTTGGAATACTGCATCCAGTTTTGGTCACCACGATGTAAAAAAGATGCTGAGACTCTATAAAGAGTACAGAGAAGAGCAACAAAGATGATTAGGGGACTGGAGGCTAAAACATATAAGGAACGGTTGCTGGAATTGGGTATGTCTAGTTTAATGAAGAGAAGGACGAGGGGGGACATGATAGCAGTGTTCCAATATCTCAGGGGCTGCCACAAAGAAGAGGGAGTCAAGCTATTCTCCAAGGCGCCTGAAGGCAAGATGAGAAGCAATGGATGGAAACTGATCAAGGAGAGAAGCAACTTGGAACTGAGGAGAAACTTCCTGACAGTTAGAACAGTTAACCAATGGAACAACCTGCCTCCAGAAGCGGTGAATGCTCCAACACTGGAAGTTTTTAAGAAGAGACTGGACAGCCATTTGTCTGAAATGGTGTAGGGTTCCTGCCTGAGCAGGGGGTTG